CCATCATTGGAGTAAGTGCACGGTACATGTCGGTACACCCATCTATAAACACAAGTCATCATAAATAATTTTAACTGCGTATATCCAAGACTTAGAGTAGCCAACAGGACGAGGCGTAAAATGCTGGTATACAGTGGTTGAAGTGGATGGATGGAAAACCTAAATTATAACATGTGGTGGTATACCATCCCCCCATACTTCGACCACTAGTGGTATAAGCATACATCGTACTTACAGTTAACGGGATGTTGTCTGTAAACGATTTATAGTACCAGAATTAGTAATAGCAGTATTATGTAGTCTAATTATCTATAAATGAAAACATGTTTAAACGATAAATATTTAAGCGCCATAGACACATATAAATAAAAAAAAAAATGGATAAGTGGATGTCACTCTGTTATATAGTAGACTACAAGTGGGCCACTGTAATGGATGGTGTTAAATTTGAATTCAATGATATATCATTGTACACTTAAAACGATTCTAAGCGAAGACGTTTTGTCAGTCTAGGATATTTAAATTATATTTATTTTATACTGTTATTAGGTACTTATAATTAATACGGTAGAAGGTAAGTTGAATTAAAATTATAAAATAACAAAAAATAACTAAAATCATTATTCTAACTAATTTATAACTAATTTCGTCCAAGAAAAATAGTAATTATTTTATATTTAATTTTGGATTTTGCCTGTATGTTTAGTACTGTTTCAAATTATGTTTGATTTATATTTTATAACTGTTTTTTTAACTCATCTCCTCTCCCCTTTTTAGGTTCAGCTTCATATACTTACGTGAAACCTTGTTTTAAATTTTCAATCTTTAGCTATGAATATTTAATTTTTATTTAATTTTTAACTACAAAATTATTTTTAAATTTTAAATTTGATAAAATATGTTGTATAAGTCGGTTAGGAATACGTGTATGTGTGGCGAGGTTCTTGAGCACCATGAACACGAGTGATCACCCATCCGAGAACTAGTGGCAGCAGCCGTTGCTTACTCTCAACCACGTCATGTGATTGATTTCAGCCACTGCTCCAAGATAGTATTATTATAGTACATAATTAGTAATTACTAATTAGATAATAATATAGAGGTATAAATAAACTCTCGAGAAAAATTAGTTATATAATAATTATTAATTACCTAACGAATAAACTGTTTATCTATTATGTGTAGTAATTGTGTACAATAATAATATAATATTGTATAATATTCTTATAAAATGGCATGATAGTGTGATACCTACGCTGAGACCGCGAGTCGTTTTATGATCTCTATATTAAAGTTTGAAGTGAAAAAATATTTTAGACCAAATTATATTTTAATATAAGATTCGCCATTGGTAGATTTTTAGTGTTTTTTTTCATTCCAAAAGCATTATAATATTATGAATGGCAAAAAATATAGCTTAAAAATAGCTTAAAAATTAAAAAAAAAAAATCCTAAGTATTTAGATAAAGCCCTATAAACGGTTTAATGGATATAGTGTTCATTACACTGCACTGAGACTTTTAAGTTTTGTGAGTGCAAACCCCGATTTTTACGGGTGAGATAGACAGACTGAACTGGAACTTTCAGATTATCATTATTGAAGTAAACAATTTTAAAGCGTTATTTTATTTTAATACTTATCTCAAACTTTTGTATTGTTTGCATTTTTTAATTGGTTTTTTTTTTTAATCCAAATCCCTTACACCGTTTTGTTGATTTACTATTGTTTTCTCCAATGTGATGATGACATTCTACTCCAAAATTATATTCTCTTAAAAGCATCTAGCACGTGTATTGGTGAGTTAAAACTATAATATTCCATTTGAATTAATTACTTGCGTATAATGTATAGCCTATCAATTAACATTAATTATGACAGTGGCTTAAATGTTTCTGATAATATTTGTAAGTAGATATACATAAATTTGTATATGGAAACCTGTATTATTTATAGCGCGACATGATGACATTTATTACTTTACCTAATAATTAACGCCATTTTTTTTAATTAATTGTTCAATTTAAAAATTCATTTTATTTCTTGGAAGTTACTGCTGGGTAAATCTATTAAATCGTCAGTGATACATTTTGTTTTTGTTAATTTTTCAATTTGATACAATTTTACTTTCTTGATTTTTAATCAAGTAAGTATGGTAATTAAAATGAAAAAAGTCTGAATTTTGAAAACTTCAATAATTTATGTTAAATAGGAAAATAATAAAAATGTAACTCAGAAATGATGAGTTGGTGGGTAATTTAGGTAGCTTTAATATAAAATATTAATGACTGGTACTTGATAAAACACCCAAGCAGTATACCACCTGAATCCATGAAAACGTCTGCTTGAACAGTGCCAACATTTCTCCAAAACTATGATAGCTAAAAAGTTGGTTGGTAACTCATTAAAAAGTGATAATCATAATCAAGTAGATACTAAATGTGGAATTAAAATTTTTTTTTTAAATGTTTAATTTTTCACAGATAAAAAGAGAGTTATTTGGGTAGATTTTCATTTAGCAAGGTAGATTTCCGAAACTAGAGAATGGATTTTTTTTGGGGGGTCTTGTTAGATTCACATTGGCTAGGAGAAGTGCAGTGAAGATTTTCAGAACTTTATCTTCAATCTTTAGTTCACTAAAAAACTATAAAACTGTAAAACTTAAAAAAACGCCCAATAAAATTTGTTTTAATTTTTATTAATATTCTGTAGTGAATTAACTATTAAAGATAAAGTTCTGAAAATCTTCACTGCACTTCTCCTGACAAATATGAATCTAACAAGACCCCAAACAACGAAGTCCGCTCTCCAGTTTCGGAGATCTATCTCACTAAATGAAAATGTAAATGATTTTTTGCAGGGCTGTTCACACCGACATTATTCTGGATTCAAATTGTTATACCGCTTGGGTGTGATATCAGTTAATAAATTTCTAAAAATTAAAAGTCAAGAAAGTTTACATGCCGATCCCTGACTTCGCAGGCGTTTTTTTCAAATTTTAATTCACATAATGACTTGTTGGTCAAACGTTTTTTTAAGCCAATACTAAAGCGAATGTTACACGGCACGTCTGTTATGACAGTTTTATCTTTTGTACGGTTATTAAAGTCACTATTTTTACGTGAATACTGAAATTTAAAACTCATTAACAAAATTAATGATTTAGATGTTAAACATTTAGTACAGCTTTTGAACTATAATGTTAAAATAAAAACTAATTAGTTAAATAATGTATGATTAGAAAGGAGTGTCTCGAAGTGTTGTGAGAGCCTATAAAAACACAGAATATGTGTATACCACAAATTTTAGTAAATCTAGTTGCTAGTTGGTCGTAATTATTTTAAGTGTAAACATGTACATAGAAATATTAATAATACCTTTAGTCATAGCTAGTATAGTTATTATGACAGTAATAAAACAACGGGATTTACACTATTACCTTGTTTTCAATTAATAAAACTAATCATTCATTATTATTTTATATCTTCTTGAAGTGTTTTGACTAATTGGGACTCAGCTTTAAAACTCCATTTTAAATAATAAAATTATATTAAATTAACCTTTGTGTGCAATTATATATATATTTTGTAAAAACAATATAAATATTTTAGGCTTATATACGTAAGAAGATTGTTTTTGTTTTGTATCGTAAACATAATAAATAAGCAGTTTTTAATCTTAAATATTAACATATTTAATTATGAGATATTTAAGTTTTATGGTAGTAAAATTACTTTTCTAAAATCTGTTTTAGAATTTAACTGTTAATAATTGAATAAATATATTATAACTTTTAATGCAATTTGAATATAAAAATTAATTCTGTTTTAACAGTAAGTACTTTAATTATTGAAACCATCATGAAGTATCTCATAATATTTGAAAAAAAAATTATACTTATTGACGTTACCGTTATTTATTTTTATTTCATCCTTTTAGATTCTGAAAGTTCCAATGAATGTATTGTGTGTTTTTATTTATTGTGTGGTGTCTATATGTGTCTATATGTTTACACCATAATTATATTATGTCAATATATAATAAAAAAATGCTTCAATCATCATCTTTGAGTAGATTCTGATTGTCAATTGATCTAGTTGGTACTTTTGAAAACTCAAGATTGAAATCCCTAGTATTTTGAAAATAATCTGGAAAAACATCATATAACTGTAAGTTTTTGACAAAATTAATTTTGTTTTTTAGTGTAACTCAGAAAAATAAAATCAGTGGATATACTTGAAATTTTCACCAAAAGTTCATATTATCATTTTCTACACATAATTTTTAAAATATTTTGACTCATTTTGAACAGTTTATAGATATTGTACCTTTTTGTTAATTTTTTTCTACAAATATTGATTTTCGTTCAGTAAAATAGTATGAAAATTCAATACAAGGTTCTTCAAATGTTTTTGTTACAGCCATTTAAATATATTAAAGATACAAGTTTTTTTTATAAGCATATGCGAACATTTGCAAATTAGTTTGTAGTTAAAAATGTATAGTGTTTATTTTTTTTTTTTTTGCTAAAGCTTGTATAATTCATACTGGGACCAAAAAATTCAAAAAGTATATAAACTTGATTTTTTTATAGACTTTTCAAATTCAAATTTGAATAATATTTTATATTTAAACGAAAATAAACAATATTAGTTATTTTGTTGTAATTCATAGGTAAACACTTTTCGTGTGGATTTACAACATTTAAATATATTATTATTTTGAGATATCATGCTTTGGAGGATGATATTAAAATTGAATGTGTTGGTGGCATTCAGAAAAATAAAAAAAAACTTTGTTACGTTGTATTGTTTAAATGTTTTCAAATTATGTAAGGAATATATTTTCAAAAATTGTTTACATTCTTTGAAGAAATAAGTGTTCGTATTTAAAAGAGCCACCTATTGTTTATTATATTATTGAAGTATAAAATAATAAACTATAGACAGTCAGAAATGTTTCAAGATTTTGTACATTGCAGGTGGGTACGGGCACCGGTATTATGACACATTATTTCAACTTGTTCGTGATTGTGCCTACGGCTGTCATATCGGGCAGTGATGAGTACCATACACCCGAAGGAAATTCAATAGTATTATGCTGTAAAATTGAAAATGTGAGTATACTGACTGTATACATAATACCCATAAGCATGTGTTAATATATCATATCATTTAAATTGTTAGGTTATATAGGTTAATTAGTACGATTTACCACTGGATTAATATTATATAAATTATATTATACATATTTTTCTTTTTTTTTTTTAGGAATATACAGTTATTATATCATTATAATATTATTACTAACTACTATTGTTATGTATATTATTTAGTTTTTACAAGCCCGACTTCTGGATTACTGTCCTGGAAATATTAAGATTTATATGAGATAGCTAGGATGCAACGGGTATGATGACAAACATCTCTAAAATCCCAAGCGATCGCCGTTAATAATTCGGACTGGACAAAATGTAATAAACTTTAAAGACCACATGGGGGGAGGGGGCAACTAGCCCTTTGTCGTATACCTATCTCGCGTGGATGAAATTAGTCTCACAACATTTTTACCTTAATATCATAATGGCAAAATTTGCCTTGGTGCTTACTTATAATGAATAGCTATACGGTTTTAATTAATTGCAGGTGCACGGCAGGACGTGTAGGTTCTAAGCACTACAGTATCGTACCTCTGCGCTCTAAATAAAATCCTTTAACCTCTCGTTTTGAGTCAAGAGCATCCACAGAAATAATACGCGGGTCATCTAGAGCGCCATAGTGAAAATAAATTTTATGGTATTATAATATATGGTATTTGTGGTAAAAATAAAAAATGCATAAAAGTCTGGAGTGGTAAAAGGTTACCACCTATTCTCAGAACGAATAAAACCTACCTCGTAAAGTACAATTATTTTCAATACAATAACATGGAATGGGTTAAAATACCAAACTATACAGTACTAAGTATATTAACTTTATTTCCTAATTATTATTAACCCCCCAGAATATCGAAAGCATGACTTTAACTGTTGATAATGCATAAAAACAAATTTTCAATCAAAATATAATTTACCTATATCTATTGAATTAGAGTTTGAAAACAAGTATTGCCTAGTTAGGTACACATGATCTCTTTAATCTTGAACTAAGCACTAATTTTGTTTAGGAGCAAAAGTAAAAACACTTATTACACTATGAATATTACTATCATAACTAATAAACTCTGATTATAATATTATTACTACAATATATAAATATAATAGGTATTGTGTGATATCTTAATGGGAATTGTTATGTTAAAAACTCCATTACAATATTTTCACAATATTACATATCTTACCAATATTGTCAATAAATATGGATTTGTAAAATTTGGTTTTTCACGTTTTTCTCAAATGTCACTAATATTATTGCTTTTAATGTTTAAAATTATATTTTGATCATGAACATTTTCTAGTATTTTTTGATAATTTTGAAAACTCAAACATTTATTAATAATTATTAAAGTGAAAAATGTGAACACTTTAAAGTGTTGTATATTTTGTATGCAAATGTTATAACCTAACTAACCACCACTCATGTAAAATTATATGTTATTCTGAAAAATATTTTAATAATAAAATGTTCATAGGACTATATTATTATATGTACCTATTATAAATTAATTATGTATTTCCAGACAATTTTTTCAGTTCAATAATGTTTTTCAATTCAATTATAATAGTGTGTATTATTTACTTTGTCTGTTTTTATGTTTTTAGTGTTCATCGACAATTTTTTTTTTTATAAATTAATTTCACCATATTATTATATTTTCTCACAATTTCCATTTAATTAAATTTTTTTCATTATTATTTTCATATTACAATAAATTAGTGAAGAAAAATCAATCCCATTATAATATAAATATTGTATAATATATTATTTATTCACTGGAAACTACATAAAAAAAAGTATTCAATTTTTACTAAAGTTAATTTATTAGTATAATAACCATCGTTCCTTATAAAACTAAAATAAATCACAAGAAACACAGAATAGTATTAACATTTTTAGTTACGGATATTATGGCGTATAAAAATGTCAGATAAAAATATGATTTCAGTAGAATTTCGGGGACTAAAATAAATCGTGATTGATCACAATCTTACATCATTATCATCTAAGTATAAAAATATATTTTAAAATATTTTATTTTGCGGGATGGGCACTATATATTATATAAAAAATAACAGTGTATCATTAAAAATTAAAATATTGTTGGCATTATCACTGAAAACTTAATTTAATGTCAAAATATCTAAACCACAAAATGCATACATATACATCGATTGAGTTAAAGGCTTGTATTGGTGCTCAGTTGATATAGGTACCTACTCAAACATTCATGTGTAATAGTTAAATTATAGATAATATAAAATTTATATAACATCCAACACAACTATTTGTCATTAAGTACCTACCTATTATTATAATAAAAGTAGCATACATTACAGACACAGGTATACGTACACGGCTCCACCTAACTCACATTAATAAATAATTAAAAAATCTTGAAAATTAATAATGCCAAAAAATTTACCTACATCGCTTTTGTATTAGATAATATTATTATGGTTAGGAATACATTACAATACTCAACGCCAAGTACCTGTACGAATTTCGTTCATACATTTTGAACTATATAAAACTTAAAAAATCAATATAATAGTATTTCCCAAATAATAGTACGTTATTTATGCATATCTATTATAAACGTATGTTATTTTTTGATAACAACTATAAAAAAACCACGTTTTCGTGTTTCTGCATGCTAACAAGTTTGTGAGATTTATTGAACTCGCTAAGCTTGTCAACCATTCCTAATACACGATACTGCTGAATTTCCAAACATCTAATAATTCATAGTGATGTGCTATAATAACAACAATAATAACAACATTATGTGATTTAGAATTTATTTATTTTCAATTAATTTTTATTCAGAGCCCGGTACCGCCGCAATACGTGTTATGGTATCATAATGGCAAAGTTATATCTTCCGGTCATTTTAATAAAAATGGACTGAAAACTGATCGCCTGTCTATCAGCACGGAACAGATAGATCGTAAAATTTACAGTCGCTTGACAATCACAAAAGCAATCCAGATTGATACAGGAAATTATACGTGTCAGCCTCCAAACACTGACCCAGACTCTACTTACATTCACATCACGCCAGGTTAGTTGTATTCAAATCAAAAAGCTATATCTAGTACGTTTTCCTACACAGTAGCCTGATAAAATGAAATTATTATAGATATGTTTACGAAATATTAATAGTGTTTAGTAGGTATTGACAAAACGGATTATTCCTTATCAATACCTGTATAGGTTGATAAATAATAATTATTGTTACATTATAATATATACTTAGTACCGTTGGTATAAGTATTATTACCTACCAGCTGTGAATAAATAAATTATAAACTGATTTTTTTTTTTTTTTTTTTTAAGATAATAAAATAATATACTGAAATACATATTTATTAAGGCGTATACAGATTATTATTTTGTGTATTTCCCTATTAATGCATTATTTTTAGGAAATGTACAGTATCTATTTATTCAATTAGAATGAAAATATACTTATAAAATATATTTATTATAATCTAAAAGTTTTAATACTTTAAAATGTAGGTAAATATTTATATTTTAACTATGTCTAAATAGTAGTTTTGATATTAATATTGTTTTAGTTAATTAAGACCACAGACTAGGTATATTATATAGCTGATCTCATGAATGAAATCTCATAGGGTAATATCATAATAATACTAATATTAAAAAAATTATTAATTTCCAGACTCTAGTAAGTTTAATTTTATTATGAAATCCTACAATAATTTAAATAATATGTTTTTAATTTATTTAAATGTATTTGATTATATATAATATTATTTATAATCTTTAAATTAAATATTTACAACTAACAATATAATTTATTGTTATAATGTGATATGAATAGATTTTATACAAGAAAAGGTAGCTCCTCGCCCAAATAGTGATATACTTAGACCATACTTTAGTTAAGTCTATAAGGTACGATTTAAAAAATAGAAAAGAAGATGAATGAAAATTATTTTAGGTTTGACTGAATACCAGAATGATGAAACAATATTTTTTTTCTATAAAAGTTAGCTATGGAATTCATAAAATGGTGCAAGGTTGGATGGCTTTTATGGGTTATAGGTTTGTCGAATAATATTTTTGTAGTTTACGAAGAGGTTTTAAGCTTTAAGGTTATATTTTTAGAAGGTCTTAGTGAGATAGGCTAGATTGTTCTATGAGATGTTGGAATTTATGAGGTTTTCCTGGTTTTGAGATTAAGATGATATCTGAAGTTTTCTACTGCAATAGGAAATAAGAAAGAATTGAGACAGAATTTAATATATGTGTATAGGTGTATTAGTGATTTTTCAGTTAATTGACGAACTGTACCACACCTGGTGAAAAAGAATTATAGAGACTAAAAAATAAAGTAATAAAGAGCAATTTGGTGTATTTTAACGTGCTCTATAAATATACTATTTAACATGATCCGGTTGAAAACAAAACTCGTAAGGTATGTGAACGAACAAATTTAGATTTTTCCTCATTAAACCAGCACCAAGTATTATCTTATCCGTTTAAAAAAGTATCTATAGAATTTTCTTTCAAGCAATTTCCGGTTGCGTTTCAGAGGGAAGCGCTTGAGACTTTGTTAGAGCAGTAACTCATTTTCTAAAATGTTCGTTTCTTAATTAGTTGACATTTTGTTTGAGGTACCTACTATACGGGATTGTTACACATTGTTTTTGAACGAAAGTTTATTAGACTTTCAAAATCTGAGCTCTATTACTTTTGCCATCAGTCGTTGATGTATACATAGGAATAAGAAAACAGTTATGGCACTTAAATGGTTATTAAGGTTTTTTTCTTAGTACCTAATTACTAATTGAGCTCCTTATTGCTGATGGGTTTCTGTTCCAAATATTTTAAATGGTACCTTCGTGGTCCTTTAGGCACTAAGTCGAGTAATTTCTTGATCAATAATTCTGCTTAATTTTTCCCAAATTATCAAATTACTGACTTCCTTGTCAGTGCCAGAAAGAGTGCTGAACGTTCAGAAGTTGGAGAATAATAGTTTTGCACGTCTGAGAAGTGTTATAGTAAATTGTTTATAATATTATACAGTTAATAGAGATATTAATTACATAACATATTTCCAATAAATCTCGAAATTGTCTCATACACCTTACTAAATATATTGAATCTTGAGGAGCGAGTATTTCGTTAAAATTATTATTTGAAGTAAGGTACTGAGCGAGTTTAAATTAATATATGCGCCCCAAGATTGGTTGATTGACAAAATTGATTTCGATTTTCTTAAATACATTTTTAAATGTATTTATATTTTTTTTTACAATAATATAGACAGTCTATACAAATTTTGAACAATAAACATAGGTATAAGTTAAGGGCTATTAAGGGCTAATAAGAAGGAACCAATTAGTGACACTTGACTGGGAGTTAAATATGAATCATTTCCAAAATAAATTTATAAATTCAATTTTGTAACATTATGATAATAATATAATAACAATTATGAAAAATAGTTGATCTGAATAAAATATTGTATGCCTTAACTGTGATATATTACCTACCTACCTTCCCTTAAGGCTATAACCATTAAATGATTGAAACAATTTAATATTACATTTGAACTGTAATAGATTCTTTATATTTATACAATTGTTTAAAACTTGTAGGTACGATTATTTAATTGATTAAACAATAATACATTAAACTTGTTTTTTTTTTATATATAATTATCTGTTTTAGAAATTGACAACACAGCAGCAATTCAACGGCATAAAAGCTCAAATTCAGCTCTGTTAGTGACAGAATTGTCAATTTTCCCATTGACATCGTTCCTTCTTATTGGACACAATGGATTTCGATGGGTTTTTTTATAAGTACAACTATATTTGGTTTTTACTAAATTTAGTAATTCAAATATTTTTGGTGTAACCTTTACCATATTAAACTTTGTTTTAATGTTAATAAAATATTAACGTACGTTTCACTGACTTACTAAAACTGTAAAGAAGTTCTTTGTAAACTAAAATAATTTTCCATAATCTTATTGTATACAAATCATGTATAAAAAAAATATATATTATCCTTTTTGAGGTTTCAAATGGTAGAAACAAATTTATTGTATCCCAGAGCTTTACATTTTTAGTTTAAAGTTGTATTAGGATTTTTTTTCGGTTTCATGTTGGCTGAAAAACTTAAAAACTTGTATTATACATTCCTCCCATTTTGAATGTTACCGCATTATTTTAAACGTTTTATTTTGTCATTAATTTATTCTATTTTTTCAAGATAGTTTATTCTATGTAACTGGTTTTGTTGGCGGAAATCCCAATAATTGTACTTAAAATAAGTAATTATATATTTTATTTTTTTTTTAATTTATTGTACATAATATAGTTGTTAATGATTTAAACTTTTTAACGGACATTGTCGTATATTATGTTATCATCTCTTAAATGAATTACTTATTGAGGTTACAGCGTTATATAATAGTAATATATTAATAGTAACTATGTTGATTTCTCAAGTATTTTAGATCTACTATTAATCAACATCCAAACATACCAATAGGTAGTTCCATTAAACTATTGTAATATGTCATTGATAAAATGATAAATATTTTAAATTTATTTGTTTAAAAATACTATTCCTACTTTGTTAATTTACTTTAGTTAATTTAAGTCAATGGGTGGTTAAGAATTTTCAAATTTTAAATTACCGTGATAAGTTTGTTAAATATTATATTGTTTCGTTATTTTTATCGATAATTATTTATAATTTGTATTTAATTTTCATAAAAATTAATTTAATTATAATTAAATATTATATTATGTTTGAATAAGCGTAAGTTCATGTGAATAAATTTAATCATTTTCCTGCGAAAAAAATCATATATTATACCATAATATTATAATGTACCTATGTTACACTAATATGACATACCAATAATGTTTACCCGTTGGTGATTATTATTAATAAGTTGTACAACTGTATGATATTTACTATTGATGAATGGAAATATAACATAAAAACATATATCAATAATATATTTAATTTGTTTTGTTTATATTATTTGTATATTAGTACATACTTCAATACTTGTATAATTAATGTAGAATCAACGACACCAGAATATTCCTAACTACGATAAGAAGTCGTGACAGTAAAAAGTAACTAGGTATTTTTAAACAATCAACAATTATTGAGTGCCTTCTTTTGAAAACAGTAATACATAATATTATATAGTATATAAAAACAACAGACTGTATAATAAATAATAATTATTATGTTTTGTTACTCTGCATTTATATATATATATATATATAAATATGCCTTTGAATAATGTATCAAGTGTTTCAAGAGAGTATTTAAATGCAAACCGAACCAAAGGAGACCAATTTAATCTAAATTTAATTAAACGAATAAATAAAATAAGCTAGTTATTATTAAGAAATGTGGTTTTGGACTAAAAAAAACAATTGTGGATATCAAAGCTTTGACTTTTAACGATGTCGGTCCTTTCGGATTTCGAATTTTGTTGAGTGTCGACCGTTTTTTTATACACCTCCAAATGAATGGCTTTTAGAAAAAGAAGTTTTGATTAAATCTGATAAACCAATTTAATTTATACTCTATTATAGTCTATATTCATTGTACGTCAATAACATTAATTAACATATCGTAAAAATAATATATGCATACTTCGTAAGTAAGCATATTTTTGATTTTGATTTTACATTTGTTAATTCACCGCTATTTATAGAACTACATAACAGTATAATATTATATTAATATTTAGTCTATATTTTGATAATGTCAACCTTCAAACTGTTATATAATATATAAGTTCGCACACACACACACACACACACACACACACATATATTATGTTGATATATTATATAATACAGTGAAACTTATCTAACGGATACTTCAAAAGACAAGTATTTCAATGTGCCCGTCTATATCTATAACGGACACTTTTATGACCACATGACTGTCCTATAATAATACACAATAATATACAAATATCATCATTTTATACCGTTCAAAATCATGAAGTGATCTCTGTTGATCAGTTCAAATAATTGAATGAACTAACTCATGAATATATCGAAGAACAATACACAAAATGTCGACTATTTCATATTTTGTATTGACGCACATACAATATTAATCGCTGCAATAACTACTCAGGCATTTCAGACGAATTCAATTATTCCAATTTAGTGAACTCTTATGTATGATAGTAGTAGGCCCGCCTACTTCTATGTTATAATACATTTTTGAATAAATTAATTTTAATGAGTAATTAGCAAGGAAATGTTATACACGATACGCTCTTCATTATAATAAACACTATTTATATTCATATCAATTAATTTATTATGAAGGTATATATTATAATATTGTGGCGCGCTTAAGTTTATGGATATGCGTTCCTAAAATACCAGTTTAAGGTACCAGAAAAATATCAAAATTATTAATTGAACATTCAGGACGATTATAAACACTAATGAACTGCATAATATGCAGCTTAAGTATATTTATCAATACTAGCAATAATATTATGGTTATCAATCTGCATTACATTATGATAAAATATATATATATATATATATATATATGGTGTATACTATCATATATTATGTTATGATATTTTAAGCAATTACGTACAATAAATATTTAGTTATATATTTGTTAAGATAAACTGTTTGGAAGGAAAATTATAATAATAATGAAGATCCCTCGTCTCGTCGTAAATAATTTACCTCGCGACAATTGATCGCAAGATATAGTTAGTTCATCACAACACAAATTTACCGAAACAATATTTATCTCAACGAAGAACTACTGCTGGAGCTGTATAGCTGTAAAGTGTTGTAATATTAATTCAAAATGTGTGTACTTAATGAAAAAATAAATAATATTAATAATACAATAACACCAGTGGCGAGTAAACAAAACCGTGAGATAGGTATAAATGCGACTATATTCAAATATATTATATTACATGCAACATTGTATATGGGTACAAGTTTACAACTGAAGTGAATCGCATAATTTACTTTTTAGGGCATTTCTTTTTTACAGCGTTTACAAATGTACTTAGATAGACTGGGTGGCAGCGACTACTACAACGCTACTACTACAGAGTGAAAAGCGAAAAGTTTGCGAAAACGCAATTTAATGTTGCGTAATTACATGGATATCGACTTTATATATAGCGAACTTTAACTAAACCCGCAATGCACAGTAACCCGTAATGCGATGGCAATTTTTAAGTGTCGACTAAGCATTTTGGACCTACTCTGCTAAGAATCGAATTGGCCAAATATCTGTATGTATATGTTTAACACACACACATATATATATATATTGTGTATTTAATATATAATGTGTATATGTGTATTGTGTACCTACATGGCTACATTACACCTATATTATTATTTTATATACGAGAGGACGATGGCGTTTCGATTATATACTACGTTTTGGTGAGACCACGTCTCACCAGTTACCGTACGCGTGTAGAATATTTAAGTGAAAAAAAACCTGGTACCTCACTTCTGCTGTATAGTAGGTAGGTGTCGAATGTAACTCGTCATCAGGTAATGGACGTGTCAAATATGAAATTAATGTATCATCGTAAATGGGAAGGTGAACAAAAAACGATTATGAGCGAAGGAAACTGCTAGTTGATCGGCATCAAGGAATGTTGTAAAAATAATTAATTAACTCACTTAATTATATATTATTATTTTCGAGATTTTTGGTTTTGAGATATTTTTGATTTCTGAAAGATTTCTATTTTTGAATAATATATTTCATTGGAGAACATTAGGTACCTACTCAGGTATTAAAATACCCACACAATTGTTCACATTATTATTGTAACATAATCATCTTCATTGATTACTTATCATTATCAGAAGTTACTATTTATATATATATACAAATTTTAAAACAATATGTATCTATAATCATTAATCTGTGTTCATTTTTCCACTGTATTTTTTGTTATTTTTTTCAAAAATGAAAAATACACCAACTCTGATGATATGCGACAATAAGACAATAACAACAATTATGAAAAAAAAAACACATCTTTAGAAGACCAATACATTACTTTTTTTTGCTCGGAATCTAAAATAATAATAACATAAAATGTTTGATAATAATTTTGAGACGAAAACACGTTTTACCGTAACTGTGCCAAAGAGTGTAAAGACAGAAAATGTTAAAAGCAATTTTAGAGATAATTTGGTCAGATAAATCTTCAGTACAAACTCAGATTTAGCACTCGAGAACATATCACAGTCATACAAGACCTGAAGTGGTTTTCTTTTCAGTCCAGTGACGGTGTGATGCAAATGTTCATACATCAGATAAACCATTTAGATATACAAATTTATGGGAGTATAAAGCTGTCTTTGAGTAAGATCAAACTAAATTCTAGCCACAAACACTATTACAGCGTAGGTAGGTATATCATAATTATGAATAATGATAATATTCTTTAAAACAACCAATTAGTCTTAAGTCAATTAATATTTGAGACCATATTTTATTGCAATAATATAATACGTATAGGTGCATTGTTGTGTATAGCAATATTCCTGGCCATAATATTATTTAGATCACGTAATATTTTCTGTGTAGATGCAATAAGTAACATCCAGTTTAAAGGTATACAAATTAAAAATATGAAAGGAGATAAATAAAAATAATATCAAAGACCCTCAAATAAATATATACATACCTACATACCTATATGCTCTAAATGTTGGTATGAATATGGTAATTTTTCGAAATGATACATGTCTTGGTCGATTTATTATATTTATTAGTTTTTGACTAAGGTGTCATATTATGA